TCATTGTAATTTCATGATGTAGGCGTGCCATAAAAATATCCCTCACTGGGAACTAACTAAAGGGTGACCGCAAACATTAGCCTTGAAATAGATACCCTACTCAACCTTACCAAAACCTCTTAGAAGATGATGAATCTATTGATAAGAATTAACTCTCCGACCACTTAACGAAGGAAAATAGTCTAGCCACTCCCACAATAACGAATTCCAAAATGACCGGGCCTAAAAATACACGTAAACCGACAAATAGCTTATTCCTAAAATTTCGCTTTTTGAAACATGGTTAGAACTGTGTAGCGAAAAAAACATATTTTAAATCAATTAATTTATAATATATATATATATATATATATATATAATACAGAGATGCATAAATTTGATATATTTTTTCCTTTTTTGTTATTACAGGAATATATGGAAACAGTTTTGCCCGAATCTCATATAATCCAACGAATCTTCCAAATTTTAGTTGCAATTAGTAACAGAGCTGAACATTCTTTTAATTCTCAGACAGCTCTTTGGACAACTGTGACTGGAATTTTCAGTAGTCCTGCAAATGTCAAGGGTACTACTCAGAAGGAAGAAGGAGTGACTATAGATGGATTCTCATCTTGGATTAGGTGCTTCTTAAAAGGAGACATTGTAGCCAAGAGTCATCTTTTGATTGCCTTAAGCTGTAAAAATCTTGGAGACAGGGCAGTCAGTGGACATAATCTACTCAAGGTTTGATATTTTGAATTCTTTTATTATTATTATTATTAAACATAAACTTTTTCAAAGTTATTAAGTATTTGCAACATTATTGTATTTTTTCCATGATTAATTCAAATTAGTATCCTTTCAGTCTTTATAATCCTATTCTAACTACTAATGTTATCTTTGAACTTCCTAAACTGTATAATTAGGATAGTTCTTGATCTAGGCACAAGAGATTCTTGCATGCAACAATAATCTTCAAGTTAGTCTGAAAAATTCTGATTATATTTATTGAGTAGATATAAACATCAATTTTCTCACCAAAAACTGATAATACATTTTTTTTTAATCTTAAAAGGAGTTCAGTTATCCAAACAAAATTTGTAGGTTAATGACTTTTCTCAAAAAATATAGATAAGTTATAATGGTTGATTTAATCAATCTATCAAGAAACATCCAGCACAGTGTTGAAATCATATACATCGTTGCTTTATGACACTTTCATCTATTTTCCTTTGTGAGATGTGTAGGTAGCATAATGGTTATCTGCATGGGAAATGAAATCAGCGAGCCAAGTCTATTGCATTTATTTTCACACAAATGTCCCTGGCAAAAGTATAAATCCATCTCTTCTCCCACTGCCACCAATGGGATCAATAGCAATGTACACTGGGATCTCTAGCCTTGGGTGGTAACCAGTCTAAGAGACAGAATACCTCAAATTTAATGGAGAAAGCAACAAGAAACCATTACACTATCTTTCCCAAGAGGTTATGGCTATGCATAGACAATAAAGAAAAGGAATCTGTGAAAAAATCATGATCACCTATGTCTTGAAGGGATATGAAATTAAAAAGGAAGAAAACCTCAGAGACCTGCATAGTATCAGAACATAGCAATAAAAGATAAGTAATGACATTGATCATAAGTGACTATTACTCATAAAATTTGATTATATCAACTTAAATTTTCAATGCTTAGATTTAATTAAATGATTAGTGAATAATATGCAAGCATGATTTTATATTTAATGAAAACTCATATATATGAAAATTACTCTCTATTTTTAATAGAACCTATTTTTAACTAGTTTACTCATGTCATAAAAAATGACAGCATATTGTACTAACTTTTGGAAAGTTTTGACATGTGCTTCTTTTAAATATATTTTTTCCAATTATTATTATTATTAATATCATTAATGTACTCTGATCTTTTACAATCAGTTTTTTCATATCTTGATTTTGCAAACATCTTGGGGTAAACAGTCACTTTTATAACAAAAACACTGTTACCTGGCATTACCAGTGCAAGTGAGATAACTTTGTGCAACCAAAAGTTACAGATATTACAGAAAAAAACACTTAACATATTATATATACAGATATGAAATGCTGTTTTCAGTTTTGCTGCATTAATAACAAAAATGAATGGATTTCATTCACTGGTTCTTTATTGTGTGGACACCAGTCATCCATTTGCAAAACCTACTTGCATATGAAATAAATGACAGTAACTTTGAAAAACCTGTTTATATATAATCAATAGTTTATTAACAAACTCCAAGGAGGTGCTGAAAAATTTTTAGCTTAACCAGAACTCAAAAAAATCTGATAAATTTTATGTATATATATTTACATTTTCAGGTGTTTGAGCTATTCCTCAATTACTACTTCAAGTATATTTCCAAAACTGCAGAATGTCAAAGTTGGGAGAAGAATTTACCCAAAGATAATGATATATCTAAATTAGCTCATCTCTTCCTGAAGGAATTTTGTAAAACAGGTGAGTAAAACAGCTAAACAAATTCTTTATTACTACTGTATTTTTTAAAATTTATTTTTGTGGTGGAGTTATTTTAATGCTGATATTTTTTGCCTTTAATGATAAAAAATAATTCAGTTTGCATAAAATCACATATATTTTTTTAAATAAATTCATTAATTCAGTCTCAACCTTTTAAAAACATTTTTAAAACTGAGAATAAAAACAAGTAATATTTATAAACAATCATTCCATTAGATTTTTCAAGTCTCTAATATTGTCAATTAATGAATTGTGTCATATCAAAAGATGGCTGCATTCCCATTTAACTCCAAGTTAAAAATGCTATGCTTTTAACTTATTTTCCCTTCAAGCTTTTGCTGTGGCTTGCTACTGAACTCACAACTCCTTGGATCTAGTCACTAGATCTAATCAATATCTTTATCCACTGGACCATGTGTCCTTGAGGATATCTGGGTATGTATTTTTGGGACTTATAAACCTAATGTCATAGATGCCATATTTTACCAGTGCTCATACTTAATTTTAATTTTTTTTTTTGTTATTATTATGCATTTTTAGCAGAGCTTATATTGCAATTTTTGTTGTTATTCATTGCTTTGAATAATGTAAATAATGCTTGTAAATAATTGTTATTCATTGCTCCGAATAATGTAAATAATGCAAGTAATCAAAATACCTCATCTCAGAGATATAGACAGATATGAAAAGATATATACAGTCTGTTTATATCAAGAATTGAAACAGGAATAATTTATTTTTATTTTTCTATTTAATCACTGCCATTTGAAGTGAAGAAAGCTTGCCAGAATGCAGAAAAGGAAGAGGAAGAAATGCCACTTCAAAAACAGATGTTCACTGCTGCAGATATGGAATCCTGGCTTCCACAAAATCCTCTGCTTTTACACATTTATCATTTTGTTGCCACTACCTGTTTTCCAATACAAAATGTAAGAATAATGTGCTATACCTACATGTATATATACTCTTTACGCAATTTTTGATAGTGAAAAGTAACATGTAAAAACACAGACAGTAATGAGAGTTTAAGACTATGACACATTTATGTAAATATGAATCACTTTTAATTTGAATCTTGGGAATTTGATCTGAAAGAGATAAAAAAAATAAACATTAGTCATAGACTGTACAGAACTTGAAATGAAAAGATCAGAAAAATAAGAGAAGATCAAAAGAAAAAAGGTTTATCTTATATATAAAGTACAGTGTATGTGTATGTGTGTGTTTGTGCATGTGTGTATCCAAGCAACTCCTCCACTCCCACTGGTCCAATTTCAATGATTCATAGCTCATTCAAAAGTCCTAGAAAAGTTAGGTGCAGAGAATGATTTTCGTTGAGCTCAGATTCAGGGTTGACAGATTATGCAGAGTTAAAAGTATATATTAATATATTATAGTAGCCATTATCATTGCTTTCATGGTTCAAGGGGAGTAACTCATTCTCCTTTTGTATCCAAAATTGTAGCACATATTTTATTATAAATAGCTTAAAATCTACCCTATCAGCCAGCATTTAAGCTAGCTCCTGTGGAGGATTCTTGGTTTGACCATCATCACAATAGCTAGGGAGGAGTAGATGTGATAGGTATCAATAAACTACAGAAGAACTCAAAATTGATCACTGCATTTAAGTATTGAATTAATGTTTAAGCTTACCTTTTAAAAGTTCAATGATAATTCTTCTGCTGCCACTTAATTTGATGTATGTAGATCCTTATTTTCCATACAAACAATTATTTTTATTTCATGGGTGACAGAAGAGGGAACAATTTATATGATAAAATTAATATAGTGTAAAGATGGGAAAATAGAAATTAAAATTAGTTATACATTCAACATTTGGAGAGTTAGAGAAACATAATAGTTAATTAAGTAAAACCTATATTATGGAATCTATATTAATAAATGCAAAATTGGAGCTCAATTCTCCCACAAATTCTGAGATTTAAAAGCCCCAGATCTACTTTATTAGTAATTTGGTATTTACTCGACTCCCCACAAAGTTGCATTGTGACACAAGATCAGTTTAATGTGGCACACACATCCAGGCTAGGAACAAAAATTCCCCAAGCCCCCACAACTATCGGTCCCTCTCTCTGGTACAATGAGAGGGCATTGGCCTCAGGCAGCTGTTCCCCAGGGCTGGGCACCTCTCAGTATAATTTTCCTCAGTTGCAATTCTGTCCTTCAACAGAGACACCCCTGACCACACTCTGCCCAAAAACAAAAATGCAACTGAGAGATGCTAAACAAATGTGTTATATACTACTTTATAGTAATTTGGTATTTAGATTTAAAATTATGAATTTAAAGAGAAAAATTAATGAATATAGAAATTATTATTATCATGATTAAATATATTCAGCCATGAAGTTTTCATGCAAATTTACTTTCAGACAGAAGAGGAGGATATTAAATTCATTTTGTCACTGATTCCTCATGTCCAAATGGGAAGCAAACCTAGTAAAACAGAACTGCTGAGTTTCTCATCAATTCTGATGATCAACAGTGTCATTCCTCACCGTCTGCAGATGTCAACCTGGAGTCCATTATTCTGTAGTAATGTTGATGGTTTCAGCTTTCAAAGACTTATCTTTTTTGTTGAGAACAAAGGCCCAACTGTCATCATTATCAAGGATTCAGAGAAACATGTCTTTGGAGGATTTGCATCTCATCGTTGGAATGCATCAGCCAATTTTATTGGTAAGAAAAACTTGTAAAGTTTGAAGATGGTAGCCTGAAAGTGGTACTTGAAATTTTGTTTACAGAATTCTTCTAAAACTGTTTGCAAACACACACATATATATGTATGTATCTATTAGGCAATTAATTTGCAAAGTGGAAATATTCTGTGTAACACATTTTGTTCTCTAGAAGGACTTTATTGGACTGAGGACAAAACATGTTACACAGACATTATTTTGATATATATATGTGTGTGTGTGTGTGTGTGTGTGTGTGTGTGTGTGTGTGTATTTAGGTAGCATTTTTTCATTGATACATGTTTCATTAATTAATATAGACAAGTGTTGTCTATCTATTTTATGTAAATTCTTTTCATCTTGTCTGATAAGCTTAATAACATTATCATTAAATGAAGAAAGAAAATCACAATATTGATACATATTTTTAAATCCTAAGCAGCCAGCTATCTACATTTCACCTAAACAGATCTTCAGGGTAAACTAGCTAAAAAAGGAAATGACGGAAAAGTATTTATTGATAAAACCATTAAAAACATTAAAACGAGTACTACTATTAATATATATATATATATATATATATATATATATATATATATATATATATATAGATAGATAGATAGATAGATAGATTTAAACTTAAAATTTTTATTAAGGATCTAAATTTACATTAATTTTCCTTTGATTATACCAATTCAGAGTTAATTAGAGCCCCTCTAGTACTTTGCCCAAAAGAGGTAGAAGGCTAATAAAGAAGCAGAAGATTAACTCCAGGGGTAACCTCCAGAGAAGTTTTAATAATCTAGTAATTCCCCCTTGGCCTGGAAGGTTAATAGGAGTAGATAGGTTCACCCATCACCTGGCCAATACTCCTCCCATGTTTATTGAATAGGAATAAAGGTTTATCCTTTGTTTCCTGTTTAGGATATGGTTTACCAGTTCTTTCTTCCATAGCCATTATGATTGAACTGTTTTAACTTTTTGGTGATCTGACTGATCATTGATTGTGACTTTTCGTTATGAGAGTACCAGGTTGGCAGTTTTCTAGTTGCTACATCCTGACCAGTTGTAAAGAGCCTAAACTAATTGGTAGTGCTTAGAGAGGCTGCTCTGATCAACAGTCATATAATATTGAGGTATTTGTAGTGTCATACCATGCATGGGTACATGTCCATGTTTGTATTTCCAGTGGTCAATCCTGAGACCACATTATGTTTTAGTCTGAGCCATCTTCTGGCCAATAGATAGTGATAATTATTTTGGCCTTTTTCCTCTTAAAACAAAATATTCTTATGCCATATACAATGAAAAGAAATATGAATAAACCAGACTGACAAAAATTCATCTAAAACTGACAACCTTTCTTCTTCAATAATCATGGAATACATTCCAATTTCTCTAATGTAGGATCTTTTCTCTTAAAATGTTCTCCAGGTATTCTTCTATCACTACCTATGAATTCTCTGTTCCAGGCTATCTTCCTCTTTGTTGAAAAGATACTAAGATACATATTCATGGCCTTGGTGTTTATATCTGGGAAAATCTTTCAATTGCAAGGGAATCTCTTGAATTCCCAGATGTTTCTTTTATGTGCTTTTGACTTGCTTTATTGCACTCTGTTAGCTATCTCATTTTACTTTACTGCTCTCCATTTTCACAGGACTATAATATATTAAACAAAATTTATGACAATATAGAAATGGCTCTCTTTCTACATTCATGTGTGAACATTTTTGTGTTTGATGATTTTAATGATGTCAAGTGACATAAGCAGTTCTAATGTTACTGATATCACCAGTATTTCAACTTTAAATTTCTCCATTGTTCAGTCTCTCAGTCAAATAGGGGATTTCCCTAATAAATTTGATCAACATACTTGTTCCTTACCTCTTCTCCTAGCTCTTGTCAAGCATTGCAACTTTGTCCTCTTGGCAATTCAGATCATGCAGTAGTACTTGTTGATATTTCTTTTGAGTCAGAAAAGAACCTCCTATTCACAAGATGTCTCTCTGTTACCAGTGTACTGATTGGGATGCACTTCATGATTTACTTCTCAATATTCCTATTGAGAATTGTACCACAGAGGTTTTGTCTTGGGTTAAAGCTGGCATTAATGCTTTTGTACTTTCTCAGAAATATCAGGTAAAGTCAGAATCTTCCCCTTAGTTAACACCAGCCTATTCAGCCACTATAGGCCAAAGAAATAACTTTTTCCAGATGTACCAGTGTAATAGTTCCTATCACAACAGACTTTTCTGTGACTGCTCAAAATAATTGTAAACATGTCCTCAAAGGGGCTAAGTCCATGTTTGCTGATATAGCCTCTAACAAGTTTGGCTACTGGTGGCTCTCTAATAGTGTGTTAAATAAGAGTAAGTCTTTTATCTCTTCTCTCTTCACTCTCTTCACTCAATTTGAGGCATTGACATCTTTTGCTGATAAAGTAGAAAGTTTTGCTCACAAATTATTTTCAAATGTTACTCTTTACTCATCTGAAATATATTTCCACTGAGTCTCAATTGAGTGCCATTCATATCTCCATCAATGGTGTCACCTATCATCTCTAATATCCCCTGAAAGCAGGTAGACAATGGTATCTGTGCAATAGTCCTTAAGAAATGTGCTCCTGAACTGTTTCCTGTTCTCTCTAAACTCTAGAATAAATGCCTTGCTGCTTTTTACTTTCCTGCTTGATCTGTAGTTCCAGTCTTTAAGAACTCAGACAAACCATTTGACCCTTCTATCGACCTATTACCTTTCTACCTCTTTTTGGCAAAGTACTAGAGAGGCTCTAATTAACTCTGAATTGGTTAAGCATCTCACCTCACAGGGTCTTCTTTCAAATAAACAATATGGCTTTCTCTTCTCTAGGTCAACTGCTGATATATTAATGATTATTGCTGAAAGAGTTTATCATGCTTTAAATAAAAATGGTGCACTTGAGCTGTTGCTTTGAATACCTTGAAAGCATTTGACAGGATTTGGCATACTGATCTTCTTCACAAGTTGAAAGGTTATGGTATTTCTGAACAAACTTTTGAATTGATTCAGTCTTTCTTATCAAATCACAAATGAAAGTTGTCTTGAACAGTCACTAATCTAGAACTTTTTACATTAATACAGGCATCAACCAAGGCTCTACTCTTGGACATTTTATTCTTTTCATCAATGATCTTCCTGATGGCATCAGTTCTCAAAATAATATCTATGCTGATGACACAACTATTTATTCCTGCCTTAATATTAAGTCTGATCAATTTGATAAGATCATATTGACAGCTGATCTAAAAAAAAAATGATGTACATTCTGTTGTTAAATGAGGCAAGGAATAACTTGTTAATTTTAATGCCTCCAAAACAAAACTGCTCTCTATTAATTATGTGAGGGAATCCTTTCTACCTTCTGATGGCTGATGCTAACCTCTAGGAGAGTGACTTGTTGCATCTTCTTGGGATAACATTTTCCACTGATATGAAGTGGAAAGATTATATTAAATCAATTGCTAGGTCTTCTGCTAGAAAAGTTGGTTCACTGTGTCATAAGAGACAGTTTTTCTCATCCAAATCTATCTTCAGTCAATTATGTGCCATGCATGATACACGTGTAGGCGATCATGTATCTTTTGATACATGACTGATGAGGCAGATTTTTTCCCACAGTAGGTTGCCATTTCTTTCTGAAGTAGACCAGTTGCCATCCAAGGCATCCGGTCTGTCCTGCTACATACCCATAGCTGGGGGGAGAAGTAGAGGATTCATACCTTTCCCAAGGATATTAGCACATAAATGAATGCAATGGATTTGACTGGAATTCAAACTCTGCTCTCCGATTCCTCAATCCAAGCCGCTATCCATTACTCCACCATGCCTCTATCTTACATATTTATAACTCTACTATTCATCCATGCTTATAATATTGTTGCTAAATATAGTCTGGTTTGTCTGCTAAATATTTAGAGATCTTTGATAAAATCCAAAGAAGAATAAGCAGTCATTGGTCCTGTCCAGACATTTTCCCACTGCCATGAAGTAACTTCCCTGTGCCTTTTCTATAAATACTTTCATGGTAATTCTTCTATGGTATGTAGACTTTATCAATTTAAGTACAATACTAGATTGGTAGCAATGTCTCATTATGTTACAGCTGAATGTAGATGTAACTGTAAATTCTATGCTAAAAGTTTCTTTTCTCACACTTCTTGCTTGTGAAACTCTCTTCTGGCTTCTTGCTTTCCAGTCAAACTTCAAAAATTCAAATGCAATGTCAATCCTTATTTTCTGTCTTCTTAATTCTTGTTCTATTATTGTTCTAGCTCCTTAAAAATGTTTTTCTTTTTCTTATATTCTTTCACACTAGTATCCTCATCTTGGTTGTTATAATATCTCAGACTTCATAACATCTGGCTTTATTTCCCCATGAATTAAATAACAGTTTCAGTTTAAAATTTCATGCTTTACCAAGTATGGAAGACACCTGAAGAAGTCTGGAACATATAGTGGCCTAAATATTGTTAATATAACAATTGTTTGAATATAAAGCCATTCAGAAAATGATTATATTGAAAACTAAATATTTATTGTATAAATAACTTTTTAGGCCATGAATTATTAGGCTTTGTGTGGATATATATAGATATGAACCAGCAAATATGCATTTAAACAATTTTTATTTAATTCAACCAACAAACTGTTTAATTTTTTATCATATTTTTTAAATTTTTGAGTAAGATAGACATCTGAATCAAAATTGTGGATAAAATTCTTTTGTTGCAAATGCTTTCAAATGTTTCAGTCATTATAAAGAACTAGATATTGTCCGTATAGTAGACAAAAAGGCAAACATTGTCAAATGTGCTTGCAATAAGACGTTGTGTCAAAAAGACATTTTTTCCTATGATACTGCTTTTTAACTCCCTTCACTCTTCAGCAATGTTTATTATTTTAAAAAGTGATGATTATAATTGTAATAAAACTTAAATATATGAAAGTGAATTTATACATTTTCTTTAGTCTTGAGAATTTACATCAAAAATAAGAAATGACATTTATTTATTTTGCTCAGTCAAATAGTGGATTCCCCTAATAAATCTGATCTTTACTTGATTTGTTCCTTACCTACTCTCCTAGCTCTTGTCAAGCATCATAACTCTGACCTCTTGGCAATTTGGATCATGCAGACTGAATTGATATTTCTTTTAAGTTGTCAGTTCACAAGAATTCATTCTGTTACCAGTGTATTGATGGGGATTCACTTCATGATTTGCTTCAAGACACCTCTTGGATTGATATTCTTAATGTTCCTATTAAGACTTGTAGCACAGAGGTTTTGCCTTGGGTTAAAATCAGCATTAATGCTTTTGTACCTTCTCAGGAATATCAGATGAAGCCAGAATCTTCCCCTTGGTTCCCACTAGCCTGATCAGCCACTATAGCCCATGGGAATCACTTTTTCTGGGTGTATTAGCATGATAATTCCAATCACAACAGACACCTATTTGTGTCTGCTCAAAATAATTGTAAATGTGTCCTCAAAGATGCTAAGTCTTTGTTTGCTGTATAACAAGTTTAGTTTATATGACAGCTCTGTAACAGTGTGTTAAATGTGTTTATGAATTAAAGTGCAGTACTACATTGGCAGTAATGTCTCATTGTTTTACAGTTGAATGTAGATGTAACTGTAAATTCTATGCTAACAGTTTCTTCTATCACATTTCTCACCTGTGGAACTCTCCTCTAGCTTCTTGCTTTCCAATCAATTTTGATCTTTAAAAAATTAAATGCAATGTCAAGCATTATCTTATGTCTTCTTAATTTTTGTTCTTTTATTGTTTTCTCTCTTTAATAGTAGTTTTTTCCTATTCTGTAATCCTTGTGGCTTTATTAGCTTTGCTTGTGGTGAAGTGATTAAAGAAAATTTTACACTATTTATTATATTATTTATTAGTATGGTTGGCAAAACATTGGCTAATTGTCAGTTGATTCAAACTTTATGACATGATAAATGACTTCCTTATAGTTGGTTAACATATTTTAATAATTTAGTAAATGTTTATGAATAAAAAATTATTTACATTGTTCAAACTGTTGTCCTATATTTATTGCCATATTCATGATGTTTTGGCCATTTTATGCTCCTGCCTTCTTCCGGTGATTAGAATTTCAAACTGAAACCTTTATTTTGTCCACCAGGGTATACTGTTCTAGTTGCCATGCCTCTTCCAGATGTCTCACTTATCTCCCTTTAACTCAACTCTCTAAATTTTTGTTCACTACTACAGTAGCTAGATATCGATCTCACAACTCTTTGGATCAAGTCACTGGATCCAATAAACACTTTTATCCACTTGGCCATGTGTCCTTGAGGACCTGAAGAAGACCAGAGTGTACAGTGACTGAAACGTTGTGAATATGACAATAGAGATGAGGACCACAGTCCAAACAATGTAAATAATTACAATGCCCCATCTCAGAAATATAGACAGATACTGAATAAATAATTGTTTTTATATTTATTTCTTTATAAATTGGTAAATGATAAATATTGAATTGCATTAGTTATAATTAAATTAGTTTTTATAATGTTGTAAATATAAAATTATCCTTTAAATAATCTAATTAATAAATACTGTTTAATATTTTTGCTGTAATTTATCAATGACAAAAAAATGTATAAATTCATTTTCATTATATGTTTAAATTTTATTCCAATTCTAATCATCAAAAATCAACAAAATTTTGTTGTCTACATCCTGGCATTTTTGTGGGAATAGTAGAATTCAAATGTATGTGTATTTATTCATGTCATTATCTGTGAAACATTTTCTCTGAGATGGAATGCACTGGAGAAGAATATTATATGTTTATACATATTATTATTTTATATGCATATTAAATAAGTGAACAAAGAAATTATTTTTGCTTAGTTAAACATGTTTTTATATATGTGAGGACATTCATGTTTTAGAAGAAATACATTTTTGCTTGTGGGATTTTTATACAATGAAGTAGTTGATGTTGACTGTTGATGTCAACTAAAACATCAAAGAAAGGAATTTTATTATTAATGTTAAGTTCATACGTAAAGTATAAGATAGAGTTATTCTTTAAGGTTTCTTTAAGGTTTTTTATTTTGTTTTTCATGAGTATGAATATGTCATCAACATATTGAATATGTATCATAAGCTTGGTGAAATTATTAATGATTTTGTTTTCTACATAGGTCATATAGCAATTGGATAAAGTAGTTATAAAATGATACCATAATGATCATAAAAAAGTACTTGTGTCAAGCAAGATAAAAGAAGTTTACATAAAATTGCTGGTTGAATATTAGGTGTGGGGGAAGAATGCTTATATATGTTTAGGATACTATGTCTATAGTTTCTTTGACAGGAACATTGGTAAAGAGAAATTCAATGTTTAATGAGGCTGTTATTAGGTTTATTTGAGTGGAGTATCTCAAGGAAGTAGATGGAATGAACACTATATAATTATTGTGTAAATTATGCATTTAGTTAGTTTAAAGCAGGTCTGTAGAAAATGTGGGCTGCATGCAGGCCTGTAAAGACTACCTAATGTTGCCTGCAAGTGGTTTTCAAAATAGTAATTTTTTTGTGTTCAGAATAAATTCAGTGACTGATCCATTTTTATTCAACCAATATTTCACAGTCTAATTAATTCTTTTGACTCTCTGGAGAAAAAAATTGAAATATTTTTTTTCACCTCACTCTTCTCTCTCTCTCTCTCTCTCTCTCTCTCTCTCTCTATATATATATATATATATATATATATATATATATATATATATATATATATATATATCCTATATATTTCATACAGGAAATCTTATACTGTGGAGTCAAATCAAATTCAGGTTTGCAATACTGTAGCAATATGAAGAAATCCTTTTGAATCCTGTTAGGATATTCCAAGTAGAGATTGCAGTTGTATGTATTCAGTATTGATTCTACAGTCCAAGAACTATTGCCACTATGTTACATAGTGAACCTATACACAACATCTAATTATACACAAATGCTAATTAGTGGTAGCACTAAACAATCACTACTACATTTCCATGAAGTGAATTGGTTTTATCAAAAGATCTCAATATTCTTCATCTATTTGTATTTTTATTTTGATTTCCTTCTCTCTTCATCTCTATGGGAGATCTAGATCTGTCTCATTTGTTTGTGAAGTCCAGTTCTTCACCATCAATTCTCCACACTGTCTTGGTCTTCCACTGACTCCTCATCACTCATTTCTGTTGGTTATAGGGTCCAAGCTCACTTCCTAACTCAATTTCCATCTCCCCTTCATATTCTTGTCTGTATCTTATTTGATCCACATGGGCAACAATATTATTAACATTTTTAAATATTAATGCTGTATTATATCACTTCTGTGTTAGAAAATTCACCCTTTCTGCCTAATAAAGATTGATGAGCTCTATTAGGGTTTCAAACTATAGCCTATTTTCTATATTCAAATAATTAGATTCGGTCAACATTAATAATATGGAAAGTTACATAACTTGGTGTCCTTCCTGGATTAAGGTTGCTGATATAGAATTTTTACTAGCACCCATAGTTAATTTAACATCCTTTTGGGAATTAAAAATCTTAGTCTACTTAAATTCATTGTTCTTTTTATGCAGCTTGGCAAATGCTTCAATTAGTTCTGAATATTTGGGTAAAATTTTGAAAATCCCTAAAAGAATTCTAATTTTTTTTTATTGGTAGGAGCAGACACCTAATTTTCTATGTCAAACTTTGGTCTGGCAAAATTCCATCTTTGTACCCAAGATATAATATTTTTTCACAATTAAATACACATTTATCTTCATTGATAGACATTTCCAACATCTTTAGACTATTTAATACCTGGTTGGTTTGTTTCAACTCTTCTTCATTAGTTGCACCTAAACATATGTCATCTTTATATATTATTGTATTTTTTATGTTCCCTCTTACAAAAATTTCTATTGCTTTCTGAAAAAGGTCACTTGATGTTTTCACTCCATAAAGTATATGAGTTCATCTAAGCAGTCTGATTGAAGAGTGATGATTTCCTTATATTTATCAATATTTTGAATTTGATTGTATGCACTTTTTAGATCAATTTTCATAAATCATTTTATTTGTTAACAAATATATTTTCAATATTTGGGATAGGATATGAATTTGAACAATTCTTATAGTTTACACCTACTTTATAGTCACCATAGATTCTAAGGTCACCATTTGGCTTTCTCAAAACTACTATAGGTGATGCCCATTTACTTCTACCCATGGGAACAAGTGTCGTTGGGTTGACACAAAATGGAAACAGCATTCATCTTTTCCAAAATTGCTCTGTTATTGTTGAGTTATAATAAATCTTTTAAACATATTAAATTTTGAAATATCAAAACAAAATATTACATAACCAGGGGCTAAAGCTAAGGAAGCTCATGACAAAGTATCAAAAACTAAATCTAAACCTTTCCTACCCAAAAATAAAAAATGGTTAATTCGAGCTTATTCAAAAAATGAATAAAATGTTCAATAGATATCTTGAACATTATTGTTGTCATTAATATAAAAAATTAGGGATATTTATCAACGACCAACTTAAAGTTTCAGTGTTTCACTCATCAGGGTTCAGACAAAAATAGTGTATTAATGTAGAATTTATGCTTTTATCTATTTTATCATAATTTAACTATATGTATTTTTATATTATACAATGAAAGAATGAAATGTGTCTATATAAAAAATTTTCCTCTTGTTTCTTTTATTAATGTTGCCCTTGCAGATATATTTATTTATATCTGAATTTCTACACACACGCACAAACACACATATATATTTTTGAATATAACATCAGTCAGCTGACAAACTTTACATTTGTATTAATCCTATATTTCTGCTTCTGTATTTTTCAAGGTGATGAAGAATGTTTTCTGTTTACATTGTCCCCAGAGTTTAATATTTATCTTCCAACTGGATACAACAAGAATTTTATGTATTTCAATTATGGTGTACACACCATGCCTTCTGGAATGGTTAGTAAGAATTATTTGCTGTAGCCTCTCTCCCTCTCCCTCTCTCTCTCTCTCTCTCTCTCTCTATATATATATATATATATATATATATATATATATATATATATATGAATGAAGAAATATAGTCTTAAGATGTGCTATATTTATGGGATAAGGTGCTCAATATCAGAGATAGAGCGTAAATGTTCACTTTATATATATATATATATATATATATATATATAGAGAGAGAGAGAGAGAGAGAGAGAGAGACAAGAATTTTCTATTTTAAATACATTTTAAAAGAGCTTTGCAATGCACATAAAAATAACATTTTTGATTTATTTACCCATTAAACCTGTTTCATGCATAACACTCAAAATAATCTGAAACCCTTTCTTCTTTGAAATATTACTAAATGTGAAACAGGCTGTTAATGGAAAAAATAAATGTTAAAACCACCATTTACTAGCTGACCATATGTAGCTTTAATCAAATTATTCAGTTGTCATATATTGATAACAGTTAAGCAAAGATATACATATTATTTTGTTAAACACATTGCTTTCACTTGCTTGGCTTCCTGTGGCCATATGGTTGTTTGCCTCCAGATTTTTATGCTCAAAGAAATTTCTGAAAGTTCTCAACAGTGAAACAACAAAACCCAATGTTAAGTTCTGTATAAATCATGCAGACTTGATTTTGAATTTTGTAAAGTTGAATCAATGAAATGAAAATAACCAACATCAAGAAAAATAAGAGTTATATTAACTAAGTGAAAATGTTAATACATAGATAACAGTAACAGGGGAAGTGCTGACATTCATTGTAAATTACAGTGAAAGCATTTCAATCACCTCTAGTGGCTACCCATGATTGTATAAAATAGGAATGAGTGTCAAATAGAGCATAGAGAATTAATTCATTTAGGATGTTGACAATTTAGTCATGCTAGAGTGAAAATAGTGTTTCATATAATTCTTCTTTTTCAGTTTTTCTAAGAAAATGTGTTCTTTTGTAGGGAATGGGAGGACAACTTAGACATTTTGGTTGGTGGATCAATGAAGATTTCTGCACCGGTCATAGCCAAGGTCCTTGTCTTACATTTAACAGTTCCCAATTGTCAGGTAAACAGAATTTCAAAATTGACAAGGTTGAAATTTGGCAAATTCATGACTTGGAATCTGAAAAAAATGAGGTAAGTTGAATCTAACAAATATTTCTTTAAGCCAAGAGAAAATAGTTAACATTATGCTGTAAAGATACAAAAGGCAATTATCTCACTCTGGTTCAGATGACGGCACATAATTTCTGAAGTTTCTTTAAACCTTCCAAATAAAATTCTGATGTTTAGCCTTCTTCTCAGCCAGTCCATCTGATATCCAATCCCTGCGACTGATCAATGAATTGACTGCTGTGACCCATGCCTTGCCTTATCCCACGTCATGTTTGATTTTGATCATAAGGCTGACAAAGATTGAATCATTTACAGGATTTGTCATATTGGGTTGGTCCAGGCAGAGTGAAGCCACAAATGAGAAAAAAAGTAACTTGAATAAAAATAAATGCTTTTATATATGTTCTGTTTGTACAGTGCTTGGTTAGAATTTATCAATTCTTCATTCAGAAAATTATCGACCTGACCCACTTTGTAAGTTAAATGTGACACTTCGGTTGGTTTGGGTAAGTCTGAACATGGCTTCTGGCACAAGGCTTATGTTCCTCTCTTCAGGTTTCAGTCACCTCCCTCGGTATTTCACCTGCACCTGGCTACCCTTTAACCAATCTAGCTCTTGACAGTTTCGTGTGGCTTAACTTATGGTCATTAATTAAAAATTATCATTTCAAATTCCACTTATGCAAAATTTTCTCATCCTGGCATTGTCTAAAATCATTTACCAGATGTTTTCCTCTCAAACAATTACCCTCCCAAGCCACACCATGTTTGTTGACTGATTTTAGAGAATTAAGTTTTTCTTCCTTCTTTCTCTCAGTCTGCCCATCATTCTATTCATTAGCCCTTCTCGTCTTGTTCCAAGCAATGTTTTTGAATTTAACCCTTTCCTTTCCATTTGCCAGTGCCAAATAGTGTCACAATGTTTCATAATGGAAATACAGCTTGACTTCTACTATCACTTCTGAATCATATACAAACATTTTCCCCTTTTGGAAACAGGAAAGAGTTAGATGTAACAAAATCTAATGAGTTTGGTGGATGGTTTATGTAGACAAACCCCAATTTCTTCAAAATATCCATAATTTTTGCCAGACTTGTGAGTGGATGCTTTGTCCTACAAAGAGAATATAATTCTGCAGGTTCCCTCACCATTTTTCTTTGAATGTTACTTTTAATTGATACAAGTTAGAGTATTCTTGTGTATCTTGATGCAGAAGAATACTCTAACTTGTTGTTGCCCTTATCAAAATACTTTCCTTTTCTAAATAAAGAAAATAACAGCTTTTCCTGCTGACTTTTGGGTATTGAATATTTCCTGCTGTGAAGAACCCATGTTTTACCATTGCATGAACTGTTGCTTAGTCTCCAGATCATAGTCATATAACCATTTTTCATCAACAATAACAAGTTGTTCTAAAAATTAGCACTAGATTACTGAAAAGGCTGCAACATCAGTTTGGAGGTGTCAACTCAACATTCAAGCATTTTAGCACCCATTTAACTGACATCTTCTGAATACTTAACTGCTAATGAACATATTTCCTGGATATCTATAATTCCTTAGCACTCCTTTCATTTATTGATTGACTAAAATTAGGCATGATAAACAACTTCTAGTTTAAAGCATTGAAGGCTCCTCAAGGACCATGCAGTATCTTTGATCCAAGTAGGAAGCCGGTACACTACATCTTCATTCTTGAGTATGACAGACATTCATCCCCTAATGATTGCATCATACACTCATAGATTTCCCTTAGTGTTTTCTTACAAAGGAATAGGAGCCTCATAATAACCCAAAATTTAATACTTTCAGTGATTAAAATTAAGTGTAAAGATCATGCAAATTGGAATTTTATAATATAAAAGAACATTCTTTCCAGCCATAGTGACAAAATAACACACAAGTTTGGGTAAGTGTGTTAGGTCAAGGAATTTTCAACACCTCTTTATATGTTTTCATTTAATCCATAATAGTTAATACCATAACATCATTTACAATGCATTTTGCATTTGATATTTTTATTGTTAAGCTTACTAGACCAACCTCTAATTCTGTCTTCTTTCTGTTTTATTCCAGGCTCAATATCATCAGAGCACACTTGACCGTGATCCAGCAGCCAAGGCTGTCCTCTCCCTGTTGGCTCGAGGCCCACACAGTGAAGGGTTGCGTCAAGGAGATTCTTTTGCTGAACTTCCTGATCATCCACAAATCCAATTTTAAGATACATTTTATTCTCTCAATTTGATGTTCAGTATTTTCACAGAACAAAACATTATACTCAACAAGTTTAATATTTTCTATTATTTTATTTGTGTTATGTATTCTGCATTGTATCAGGCATTAATGTTATCAATATTAATTTGGAGTACATATATATTTTTATAGTAAAATGCCTTAAAATATTTAAGTTAATTGTGTGTATGCATATTGCAATGGATGAATGTGTTTTAGATCCTTAATCGTACAAAAATTTAATGTATTTTTCATGCTGTGAAATCTTTTTATCACTGTTTAAATTTATTATCAACCAACATTTTGTATAGACCTTTGACTTTCATTGACTTTTTACTTAATTTACTTACCTTTATTAAGTTTTTTCAGTTGTTGTTAATCCAGTTACCCTATCACATACACATCATAAAAGATACTAACTTTTATATATTTGGAAGGGTGAGTGTTAAATTATGAATTCTGTAAAGTTACTTATTGAATTGCAATGACAAGACTAAAGTTATTTAAAAATACATGAAGTTTTCTGAAATTGTTATAAAAATTTTAAGACTAATATGTCAGGTTATCTGTCCTTATCAAAAGCTTCAAATTTAAACAGCAGGCATGTTAGGAAAAAGCATATTATTGAATTCTTTCTGGATAAATGATTTTTGGCAAACATAAATTTGACCTGCTTGAAACTCATGTATATAAACAATAAGGGTAAGATTACATTTGTCTTCAGATATAATACAGGTATTAAAAAATATCAGAAATTGTTTTTGCAATTTGAAATTACAATTACAACCATCTTTTTGCACAAACACACACACACACGCATAATTATTTTAAATTGGGCAATTTTCTACTAATGTATTTGAAATACACAGTCAAATATAAAAATATAAGGTCATACTTGATGAATCACCAAAAAGGATTTAATTCCAAAAAAGGTAAAATTTTATATCCTAGGAATTTTATTCATTCATACTGTTTCAAAAAGGCAATTTCTAATTGATTTCAGTATAAGATTTATTTCATATATACATACAGAAAACACATAAAATTACTTTTGTGCATAAATGTAATAAAGGTGTTATAATTTGAAAAATATTGAAAATTCATGATCTAAAATTATAATGCTTTAAATGAAAACTTTCACTGCAAATACATATGAAGTACTAAGCAACAACATTCATACACAATAACTGGTAGCTCTCTCTCTCTCTCTTTCTCAAATTTGTTCAGTTGATGTGATTTTCAGATTTCCAGTAGCCCAAAAGAGAAAAATGGCCAAACTGCTTCATTTATCAACATCCAAAAAATGTTAGTCTTATCCAGTATTTGAATAATTTGGGCCATGAAAATTTACATTTTCATTAAAGACTACAAAATATTTACTTTATATTTCTGCTGATAAGGTTAAGATTTTGAAACAAACAATCAATGTTTGCTTCCCACTTTCAAATTGCCTTGAATTTGCTTGCTTAACCCCATTAAAGTATATACCAGCTTTATTTTATCTTTTTCTATTGTTTAGACTCTTATCAATTTTCTATGTTTGTTTGTTAAAATGAACAAAATAAACTTTGCAGATCACAGAAAAATTGTTTCGCTTTTTTTTTAAACAAATTTAGTTTTAACTTTTAACTCAGCAGTCAACTTATTTCATTATGTCAGTGAAGATTGTAGCAGATGTTACACCTTTTCATCAAACATGCATGCATTGAACCTGTCAGAAGCCGTGACTCCTTTTCAGGTCTGTGATAGACATAAAAAAAAAGAAAACTGGAAGCATGCATGCATGGTGCAAATCTCAAGAGGCTAGCTCTCTTTCACTTCATGTGGACGTTGACATAGGCTGTTAAAATTGATACTCACTGTAATAGAAGCACATGGCTTAGACAATATATGTCACACATTCTTTAATCACCAACAGAGTAAGTTCAACTTTTTATTCATTTTTCATAGAGACTTTCTTAAGAACATTTCTTAAATTTGCCCTTTCTTCTAGGAACCATCTTTGAACTTAAAAATAGTTCCTGATAGAATAAAAATTTATATCACATTTTGTTTCAATTTCTTGTTTGTCTATGTTCTCAACCAATTCAACACTTGTAGTTTTTCTTCATCATACACAACACTTTCTCAATTCTCAAATGACAATCCTAAACCTAACTCATGAATTTTTTCTTACTTGCTTCTTTCATTCACTGATATTCAACTGTTTCAACTTTATCCTTCTTCAATGTAACTTTTATGTCATTTTTATTATAATGATTTCTCATCGGCTTTCTTGGTTGCTCAAAAGCCATTGTCCAGTATCAGTTCATAAAGTGAACATTCCAGCATTTATACTGAATTTACTATCAGGCAAAATGTAATTTTGCACTATAATGGATATAATGGACATAGGATATGAAGAGTTTTTTATAATATATTCATTGTATCAAATCAATTTTGATAGGTCATTTCATTACCTTGCAATAACTTGTACTAATCTCTGCATAGACTGCTTGGAGCTTTTGAAGTTGATCATATGAAATTGATTCATAAATTGGAGATAAAATATACAATTTTGACTAGAATTTCAAATCCAACAACAATTTAGTGAAAATTACTTGAAAATCCCTTCATTTCAGTAGATTCAATTTTTGATTCTCAAGTCCAATTATGTTTTAACTGTGTGTGTGTGTACACACACACACACACACACATATATATATATATATATATATATATATATATATATATATATATATATATATATATATATATATATATATAACTTATGTATGGATCTCAGTATTTAAAACCATAAAACATTGTGTATCCCAGCAAGATTATTGGCAATACTAAAAAAAATGCTTGTTTGAGATATTATTGCTAATTCATCTGTAAACACCAGAGGCTGGGGTTGGAGAACAATTTCCTACAAAAAATGTTTGAAAGGCAGACTTACTCAAAACTATATTGATCAAATATAAACAAATTCAGACAAGGCTAACTTTTGCAAAAATTCATATCAGAGACTCAGAAGGAACATGAAAAATAAATATTGAAAATATGGAAAATATTGTGATCAGATGGAAACTAAGTAGAATTATTTGGTCAAAATTTAAAATTCTGTATGTTAAAGAAAATGAGGACAGTTCAGCTTCCAAGAAACCCCATTCTCACCATCAAAAATTAAATCTAATCTGTCATGCTTTGCAGGTTTTTTCATTGTTTCAGTCAGGAGAGCTTGTCACCATAAACAAGGATAATAGATGCTGTTAGGGATTACAATATTTTTAGAAAAATCTTATGAAATCAGCTACAAAACTCCATTTGAGTCACAATTTTAATTTCTGACATGATAATATAATAATTTGAAGAATGCAATCAAAGCTACTCAAGAACAGTTTGGATTAAAAAAAGTTCTCATGAAGTTGAAGTTCAAATTTGAGTCCTATCAAAAGTTTGTGCTTAGAGTTCAAATTGATGCATAGAGGATCAGTGCAACGGTTTTGCCATGAAAAATGGAATTAAATTTCTTCTGTTCAACATGGAATTTTAATGACCAGTTCAGAATTAATAAAAGGTGGGGAATGAGATATAGATTTTTATAAAAGAATTTTGACACAAAATTAATTTCCAAAAATACAGATTTAGTTACTATATTTTTTATTTTGTTGGGTATTTTTAGATACAAATTATATTATTATTATTATTATTATTATTATTATTATTATTTCCTACAACATTTCACTTATTTGATCCTCTGCTTTTATGTGCCATGTCTCTTCAGGATGTAGGCGATCATGGCTCTCCATTTCTTTCTGTCCCTTGTAGCTCTCAATAAGTTTTGTCTTTTTGTTATTTCTCCCAGACCCTATTCTGCCATCCACTTGTTTAAGCCCATTAAATGTGTCACACATTGCTTTCCCTTGTCCATCTTTCCCTCTATTCAACCTGTGAGTATCAGATTTTCCAAGCCCTCTTTTCTTATTATGTGTCCCAGAAATTTCAGCTGTCTTTTTCTGATGTTAAGAATATTTTCTTAGTATGTTTCCTATTTGCTTGCATCCTCTCCAAAACTCACATGTTTGGTCCATGGTATTCTTAGTATCCTTCTGTAGAACCATACCAGTCTATTCTTCATCTGAGGAGATCATCCAGCATTCATGGCCATAAAGGAGGACAGATATCACATAGTTCAGTACTCTTTTATTTGTTACCAATGAAACCCTCCTGTCTTTTCATACTCTGCCTAGCTTTTTAAATGCATCTTTGGCCATCCCAATATGTCTTTGGATCTCAGTGTCTCACTTACCATCCACTGTCAGAACACTTCTTAGATATTTAATTTTTTGCACCTGCTTGATTTTAGTGTCCCCAACCTCTAAATTGCAACCCACTCTATACATATATGTCTCTCTCTATTTCAATACATATCTGTCTGCTAGGGTGGTTAACTAATCACTGTTGCAGAAACATGCTCAAACACATTTGTGCTTGTTTAACATATACATAACCAACTCGTTCTTTATATTGTAACTATGCTGAGCAAGCCTTAGTTAGAGTTTCTGGGAGAGAATGCATAATCTAGTGTGATCAACAATATTCTCAACTCTTTAATCATTAGGACTTTCTGCAAATACAATTAGGTAGCCATCAATCTCTCCTGAATAGTTTTTTTCCACACAATTTCAATCATAAGGCTTGGATCAACTCATTATTTGATCCACAGGCACTTCCAAATGGTGCCGCCACATGTCATTAAGAAGTTACTTTCCTGACAAATTGATTATGGTGAGATTCAAACTCATGAATCATGGTTGTAATTTGAAACATTTGAAATTTCATTAGCATTTAACATGTGTGTGTATTTGTGTATATATATATATATATATATATATATATATATATATATATATATATCTTTTTTGAAACTCTCTTTCTCTCTCAATATATATATATATATATATATATATATATAGAGAGAGAGAGAGAGATTATTATTATTA